TATGTTTCTGCCGGTCGGTGCCCACTGCCCACACTGAATAACGCGCACTTGTAATATCTAAAGAGAGAGAGAGCATCCAGTTTTGTTGACATAAAAACTCATATAGTGAGGGAAATCCACCTGTGATCCGAGCGGAGAGGTTAGGCTACTCACGGACTCAATGCACTGCAATGATAACGTGATCGATGCCTACATTCCACGCTGATAGCTGTTCCAGGGCAGTTTTTAGTTCTCATCTCCATAAACATAAGATGCCGGTGCATCTCTGATTTGTTGTTGGTCTACCATTACGCTCATATTTCTTCTTCGCTGTGAATTACAATTTCCGTTCATCTGACCATCCGCAATCTGGGAAGCGCCACCACAAGAAGTCTGGAGGTACTGTCGCTCCGGTAAGCTAAAGTGGTAAACAGCCACAGTGTACAGTAGGTATGAATTTAGATCTTTTGTATGTTTAAAAAAAATATTGATACTTGGTGCCAAAGTATCGATAACGTCTCGTGGCCGGAAATATCGCGATAAATCGGCACATCGATTTATTGTCCCACCCCTACTCCGGAGCAGTATTCGAGATAGTGTGGATTTAGTGTGCGGCGTTAAGGGTAGGGATGCAGCGATTAACCGGTTTCACGATTAACCGCGCTTTAAAACGTCACGGTTAATTAATCGTAAAGGCTTCGCTAAACCGAGTGTTTCTGTTGCACGGAACAGAACAGTTGCAACTTGCGCAAAACGAAAACAAAGTTACACTAGCGGTGCACCATCTTAAAATGCCATGCTTATCAGAGAAACGGAGGCTACACACACTAGATTAACTAGTCTAATGACAGAGGAACCAACAGAGAAGCTTTATTTCCACCAGAGAAATGACTGAAGTCGATAGTGTCGGAGCATTTTGGGTACACCACGAATGACCAGGGTGTCATTTAAATATTGCCGTAAAAAAACTGCTGCTAAAGAGCGAATGTATAAGGGATAATACACGGCTAGCTGTGCATTGAACAATTTTAAAAACCAAAATCAATCGACGCGAAGCTACGGCCCGCTTCAGATCAGACAGAGATGAAAT